TGATTTTGGTTAAGGTAGATTATCATTTACAGTGTAATCAGTGAGGGGATTCTGCAGACTGTTGAGGGTTCAGCCTCCTGATGAGTCGGTGAAACTCCGACGAAACAGTTTGTCACAGCCCCTCGTTTGTTGTCCACTTCTCTCTCTCTGCCTACGGTAAACCGGGCAGTTCTGTTTGTGACGATATATATATATATCGTCACAAACAGAACTGCCCGGTAAACCGTAGGCAGAGAGAGAGAAGTATATATATATGGCCCGGCCGGGCAAGTGACCCCGGGGCACTCTGCTAGCCTAGGAAAAGATTGAATATCATTCAGGTCATAAACCGCCTGAACATTCCAACGACCCAAGATCCACCCACGCGTTCACATCGCCTATCTAACGCTAATGGCAGAGCCAAAAGCGAAAGTTAAAAAACACTCTTGAATTTTTTTATTTTTATTTTTTTTAAGAAAAAAAAAAAAAAGTAAGAGGTCGAATACTAAACAATCATTCTATTTATGTTGTCGGTCCGTTCCTAAAAGTCCGGTATCGGGCGAGGTTCCACTAGCAAAGAGGATAGGATCAAGCTCCTGAATCTGGACGTGTTTTACGCACAGATGCAGGAAAGCAGTCCAATCTCAACACTCTGCACCTTTCCACAAACAAGTCCAGATTCGTGTGTTCAATCCAATCCTCTTTGCTAGTGAGACCTCGGCCCAGGGATCTCAACCCGCCGAGCCAAAACAAAACCAAGCAACGGTCCTTCTAGCAGCCTGCGACTGGATTAAAAAAAAAATAATAATAATAAATAAATAAATAAGTAAATCGTTAGATTCGTTACATACATGGCATAAATTTTATGAACATATCAAAATAAATCTTTGAGATTCCTCAGATCATTTCTGTAAAATTCACAATCTAAAATTATATTGATTCTGTCTTTTTCATTTGTACTTTTAACAAAAAAAAAACTACAGTCAAATGGTATCATCATTGGTAAGGAGCAGTGAAACAGTGAAACTTTACCCCCTCGCTTTCCCCCAAAAACGACAAAAAAAATATCGATGGGCGAAGTAACGTGGAGGAAAAGAGGGCGACTTCAGATGACAAGTTGGGAAAACAAAAAGGAGGTTTTCAAAAAAAAAAAAAAAAAAAAAGGAGAACTCAGTTGATTTGAGTAGAGTTAATTATTGAGTCAACCAATTTAAATTGGCGGAGGAGAGGTGGAAAGCTACCGCTTGCAGGGGTCCCTTTATATAGCCTTTAGGGGTGGAAAGATATGTTCCCTTTTTTTTTTTTTTTTTTTTTTTTTGGAAAGACCTTTAGGAGTGGAAAGATATCCGCAATACTAAAAAAAAAAGATCAGCAATACTCAGAAACCAGCAACACGCCGGTCATCAGCAGACATACGCATGCACGTGTTGTCACTATGACACGCAAAGCAACGGCAGCGCCGAATTCTGATATAGAGAATTCCATAACATGGCAGAACGAACGCCAGTTAAAAAAAAAAARATATTTGTGGTGAGAAAAAAATATATGGCTGTCCCCCGATGACGAGAAGGCAGCTTTCAGAAGGGTGATGCGGCAAAATATTAGCATCAGATCTATCCACACACACACACACACACCAAAAAAAAAAAAAAAAAAAAAAAAAAAAAAAAAAAAAAAAACCTTATTCTTTTTCTGGCCCGGCCGGGCAAGTGGTCCCGGGCCACTCTAGTAGCCTAGAAAAAAAAAAAAAAAAAACAAGTCACCGGGTCCTCTCTCACTCACAAATTGCACTCACCACGATTTGCGTCCTCGTAGACTCGTAGTCCTTTTAGCAACTCGTATATTATAATATTAAGGAGAAAAGCCGGAAAGCCACACCCTACAGCATCAGCATCTCCATTTCAACCGCAAGCTTGTTTTGACTGTCACAGCTCTTTCAAACATTCTCCTGACCGCTGCCAGAGATACGTAGAAGGCGATTGAACGTGTCAGACTCTGATCTAATGCAGGCAGGCGAACGCCCACGTATTTCCTTATATACTCGAAGGCGCAATAAGGAAAAGAGAGAGAGAGAGAGAGAGAGAGAGAGAGAGAGAGAGAGAGAGAGAGAGAGAGAGAGAGAGAGAGAGAGAGAGAGAGAGAGAGAGAG